CCCCACCGTGCTCCCCCGGCCCTTGCTCTCAGGTCTGCCTTCTGCGGACGGACGGGGCGCGAAGGTCTGGCTGCGCATCTCTCCTCTGCCAAGCCAGGGAATGTGCCGCTGTGGCCTCAGCTGCCTCCAGAGCTCTCGCGCTCCTTCACAGAGGGAGGCGAAATCTCTGTGCGGGGCAGGATGCGTCCCTGGCAGAGCAGAGGATGGTGCTGCTGTGCTGCAGCCTGGGACGTGATTCTCTCCGCACCCGGCAGATGGTGCCACGTTCCCTGGCTGTGACACGGGGCTGGGCCCCCAGGGTGCCAGCAGGGTGCTGGGGGTCGGGAGCTCGCCCAAGGGCGCTGCGGGAGGCTCTGCACCCCTGCCCTGCGCTCGGCCCCCTCCCTACCTCGCCCCGACGGGGCGCTCCCTGAGCAGCCACCCTGATCGTGGGTACAGCAGGGTCCCCGGGCTCCAGCCGGCCTGGGAGGCTGCGAGCAGACGCTGCTAGCAAAGCCCAGCTGGCAGACGGAAAGATGAGCTCATAGTTTAACCGCAGCGCGGGGAATAGGGAGGGTTTAACCCTGGGTGGCTCAGGCGGGACCTGGCACTTCTTCGGGCTTCAGCTCTCCAAAGCTCTGCCCGGCCTTGCAGGGTGAGCACGGCGGGGCAGCCTCGAGCTCTGCGGGGGGACAGGGAGACTGGCCTGGCAGCGTGGAAGCGCTGGAGCCAGCGCGGTGCCAGCCGGCGCGGGGAGAGCCAGCGCACCCCTAGCTGGGCTGCTCCGCTCCTCCACGGGGGAGGCTCAGATGCGACAGTAAAAAGCCGCGTGTGCTGTGTCAGGCAAGAGCTGAGAAGGGTGGGCGGTTGCCCTGTTTATAAATAGGCTTCACGGAGATGCGTGCCTGGTTTCCATTTGTAACCTCCTTTGCCAGCCTAAACTGTGATGCAAAGCGGTAATGATCCGTGGTTTGGGTCACTGAAGACTCGGCACTGAGCCTCCGCTGGCTTTGTTGGAGAGGTGGCCTTGCCCTCCTGATCTAAGCACGGTAGTTGGGATGTCCCGCATCTCTTGAGCCCTTCCCTCAGCAGGCAAGCGTGCCGTCCGTCCCGAGGCGATGCCTGGCTCTTTGGCGACTTGGAAGGGGAAGCGATTGCTCCAGGCAGGGACTAGCCCTGAAAAGCAGCGGGATAATTGAGGGTGGGATGTGAAGAAGCCCCTGGGGAGCAGCACCCCGGGTAGGGGGGCCCAGGGGCGCATGGGGGCGAGCCCAGCTGGTGTTCGGTTGCGCTGTCCCCCTCACCAACTTGGTTCTGGCAGTAGGACTGGAGGACTTGCTTGGCAGAAAAGCCATGTCCAGCAGAGGATGCGGAGCTGCGTGCGAGGGTGCACCTACAAGCCCAGACCCTTGCGCACATCTAGCCCCTGCAGACTGATCTGCAGGGTTACAGCTCTGGGAGATCTGGTTCCGGCAGGCCAGGAGAGTGAGCGTCCCCAGGGTGAACCTGCCAAGGAATTTGTTTGCACTGTTTATACAGCTTGCTTTGATCCGCTTTGGTCACGCTCGTTGTCCTTTGTCCTGCAGGCATCCGAGTGCTGGACGGGCCCCTCACCGACAGCATGGAGGCCATCGCCTTCAACAAGCACTATCAGATCAACGACATCTACAGCTGCAGGTGAGCCCCAAGGGGACCCTGAGCCGGGCCATGCCGACACCCAGCGAAGGGCCGTGGGCCCCGCTCTGCCTGGGGACGGGGTCGCAGTTCGTGGCTGAATGCTCACGCCAGCTCCTCTCCTCCTGTGGCTCCGGCTAGCCCTGAGGCACCGAAATCAGTACCGCTTTCGTGGGTCCTGTGAGCGTGCCTGGCAGGCAGGCGGCCAGGCTGCGAGGTGGCGGGTCTGTCCCGCAGAGGGAACGCCCTGCCTGTCCCCCTGGGCTCGGTGCTTGCCTGTGCCCTGCAGCCAGGCTATCTCAGGGGCTCTGTGCAGCTGAACCTCGAGGGGGTTTGCAGCCGGGCACGTAAGGTGGAGCTCTTTGCTGCTGCCATTAAGAGTAACATCGGTATTCCTGTCGCTGGAGAGCTGGCCCGGGCTGTGCACGGCACCTGTGGTTGCCTTCTGAGCGCTGCTGCAGCACATCCCGCAGGCTGGCTGAGCTGGAGGGGGCACTGTGCCCCCCCGCTGTGGTTGGGGAGCCCCGGCGGAGCCGTGTGACCGGGACTGGAATGTGCGAGAAGCTGGTCGTTAAATAAAAATCAAACATTTTGTCCACTGGAATCTGACCCAGGGGCACAGTGCAAACACGACGGTGATATCCCAGCAGCGAGGAGCCAGCCTGACGGATGGGAAAGTACAGCCCCCTCCAGTCCCAGTCACGGTGCTGGGAGTAGCTGGTGCCTGCTTGTAGCTCACTGTAATGGCAAACTGTAATGGGAGGAAGAGTTGCTGTCTGCGACTCCCGGGGCTGTCACTTCATGGTGTCTCTCTTGGCAGCTGGGGTCCAGATGACGATGGGAAAACCGTGGATGGCCCCCATCAACTGGGAAAGGTAAAAAAACAGTCCCAGCAGCACGGGTCACCCCCGGGCTAGCCCTCCGGTGCTTGTGGTTTCTTGCCCGCCTGGACAGGCGAGGAGGGATGTTGCTGTGGTGCAGCGCACGTTTCTTTGCTTCCGTTGCTGCCAGCGGAGGTGTTGCTTGTTACCGTGCGGGTGGGGAGAGGTGACGTTGCTGCGGGAGGGCGGCGTTCAGGCAGTATTTGATGAGCTTTCCAAGGAGAGGCTGGGTCCAGCAGGAAAATGCTCTTTCGCGGCCTGTGGTGTTACGCTGACAACTTTTGCAACCCAAGGGATGCTCTCCGCTCGGGAGACCGAGCGTTCCTGGTGCTAAGAGTGGTTCTCAAGGCAGGGAGCGTGCCTTCAAATGCTAGGAGTAAATAAGGGGCCGGGGCGACGGCTGCATTCGCTCTCAGCGGGACGGGAGGTGTCAGAGCCGAGGCTCCTTCCCGGGCCACTACGGCGTTCTCGCGGCGCCCGCGCTGCAGAACCGCTGCAAAACACAGCCGGCTGCCTGCGCCTGGCTCCCGCTGCCCTGGTACCGCAGCGAGGGGTGGCTGAGGGGGGCCCCAAAGCTGGCACTGCATTGCTCCTGGGATGTGGTTCTGCTTAATTTCTCTTTCGCTTGGCAGCCTTTTGCTGTGCTTTTCTAACCGCAAGATAGCAGTTACTGCGCTGTTCGGAGCAACGCTGACAACTGAGCTATCGGTTTACGATGACAAATGGTTTCCAGTTCTGCAAGTTTAATTTATTCTCTTCCTGCATGCAGAGACAGCCGTAACAAGCTCTGGGATGCAGAGCCCAAGCGAAGCTTGCTTTGCCGCAGCAGGGCGTCTGGAGGGCTTTCCGGCCAATGCAGTATGTGCCTTTGCCCGCCGAAGGGAGGGCAGAGGAGGAGGGTTGGTTTCCAGCGGGATTGCTTTCTTGCTTGTCCGTCAGATGCATATCCTTTATCTAGGCGGGAATGACGCCCGTGCAAGGTGTCAGCCTGGAAGTGTGCTTCCCAAGCAGGGCTGGCGTGGTTGTGTTTCTCAGCGGAGGCAAAGCCCAAGCGTATGTGTGGGCTGGGGCCTTGCCGAAGGGCAGCGGCCACGTGTGGGTAGTCTCTTGTCGGCAGGAAAGCCTTGATGCTGCAGAAAAGCCGGCTCCAGAGCGAGCCCCGCTGAAGCTGGGAGGGCTGGCGCTGCTGTGGTTCCTCTGGAGCTCAACTGCTGGCCAGCCTTTGTGCTGTGATTGCCTGGAAGGTTGCTTTTCCTTTTTCTCTTTTTATTTTTAACGCAGCATCCGCTCAAAATCATAGTAAGCTACAGATCGGCCATTCCCCAGCCCAGACGTTGGCCGCATTGCTGCCCTTGTAACGTGCTCGCTCTGGAATCTCGGTGTCTGGTCGGGGCTGTAACAGGCGCGACTCCCTGACTCTGCTAGCCGGGCGAAATACGGCCCAGAGGGGTTGTGGCTGGCCCCGCTACCACCCCGAGTACTCGGCAGGCCCGGTTACTGTAATCTCGGAGCGTGGACTTTGGTTGCTGGATGGAGATGCCAGGACAGAGCTTTCCAGCACGCCCTGTGCCTGCGAGCACTCCGCAGGGCGAACGCTCCCCCAGCACAGGCGGCTCGGGAGAGGCACACGCGTCCGTCTGCGCCTGGGTTAGCAGCAAGGTGCGCCGCGAGGTCCGGGAGAGCCCTGCTCCCCCGCGGCTCACGGCCAGGCCTGCCAGCCGTGGCTGCTGGCAGAAACCCTGTGGCTGCTGGCAGAAACCCTCTGGCGTCAGCGGGGAAGGGCACGGGAAGGGCCCGCCTGCCTACACGCCCTGACCAGCGACGACGGTTCCTTCTCCGCAGGCCGCCCTGCAGCACGGCGTGATAGCGGGCCGCCGGGGCTTCGGGAGCATTTTCGTCGTGGCCAGCGGCAACGGCGGGCAACACAGCGACAACTGCAACTATGATGGTTATGCCAACTCCATCTACACTGTCACGATAGGTGAGTGCGTGTGTCTTCTCTCTCGTTCCTCCCCAGCGTGGAAAAAGGAGATGGTCCCAAAAGCGCAAAACCTGCCCAGCTGGAAGCTGGCCGGATAGCGGGAGTCTGCAGGGAAAGTCTCTGTTCTCTGGGAATGAACGTGGCAGCGTGTAGAGGTGCTGGGCTTCCGCCCTCAAGTCTGCAGTTTTCTTTTGACCTACAGAGCAAGAGGAGGCCGAAGAAATTCCTGCCTGCCTTCAGGCCTCTGTCACTGGGGCTGTGACAGACGCACCGCCGTGTTGAGGGAGTGGCCCGAAATACAGCATTCCTATCACGTGGGTTAGAAAAGAAACGTCTAACCCATTTTCTCGAGGGCAGAAGCTACATGAGGGGTAGAAGATCTGTGTAATATTAAGTGCAGTGAAAGGTTATTTATCGTGGCTGCCTTTCCTGTAGATCTTCCAGCCATGAAAAATACAGGCTTGGGTCCGATTTCCCTGCCCAGCTCCCAGCCTGTGAAAAAGCACAGCTAGCAGGACAGGTCCCCAGGGGCTCATCACCTTGCAATTTCAGCAGTTAAACTGAAACAGGCTTCATACGGTTGATGCCTTTCACTTTTTCCCAGGCGCGGTGGACGAGACGGGCTCCATGCCATTCTATGCCGAGGAATGTGCCTCCATGTTAGCGGTGACCTTCAGCGGCGGGGACAAGATGATGAGAAGCATTGTGAGTACCGTGCGAGGCACGTGTCTTCCCCTGTGCTCTGCTGGCCACACCTGGCCGCGGGGCTGGAACAGCCCAGTGCGGAGAAGGGGTGAAGCTCTGTCCCTTCTGATTGCCGCGCGTCCGCCTTAGGCCGGTAGTTGGGTCCCTTTGCGAGGCAGGGAATGAACGTGCTTTTTGTCTAGGTCCTACGTAAATAGTACTCTGAGAGGGAGGTTTCTCCTTCTGGTTGTTCCCCGTGTTGTCACCTGTCTGTCAGGCTGTAACTCGCAGCGCGGTGACCCTCTCTCTGCAAGGGTGTTCACGGGCACGCCGAGTTCCTGGCCCCAAACGCAGATCCTGCGGGTGTCATGTTTGTCGCCTCAAGCGCAGGCAGGATGTCAGACCGACAGGGACAGGGACTGTGCTCCCTCATCTCCCTGCTCTGCGCTGCTGGGAACTGCTGGCAGACATCATCTGGGACGGGGGCCGCTTGGGTGACCCCTAAGAAATTCCTCTGCACTGTGTCCCTGGGAATGTCGTCCGGGGAGCTCCCCCGGCTCAGCCCCGGGGACAGCCGGCAGAAGACGAGCGTTATCCCAGCTGTGTGTGTGCGGGCCCCCTTTGCGCAGCGAGGAGGAAGCCTGGAGCGAGACTCCTGTGCCCTGTGGGCTTTCCTGAAGAGAAAGGGGCAGGGGCGGCTGCGGCTCAGCTCCGCGGGGGCTGCGGCCCGCCCTGCCCAGCTGGCCCCCCTCACTTCTGCTCCGAAGGGATGCAGGAGCACGGACGAGCACGGAGGGCTGGGAGCAGCATCGGGCTCTTTAAACCACTTGGCCCCAGCTCCTTCTCTGTTCTGGCACGCGTGCCTCTCCCAGCTGAATTTTTCAGAATATTTTTATCAGCTTCTCCTTTTTTTGCCAAAAAATGACTTATTGTCAACAAAATGTCCTTTTTGCCCGAGCCAAGCAGCCGGGCCTGTTTTCACCGGCCCCAGGGCTGACCCAGCGTGTTCCTCCCTTGGTGCTGGTGCACTCAGGGGGCCGTCAGGCTAACCGGACCGTACGGCTGTGACCCGTTCCTGTCCCGCAGTGCCAGCGGGGACTGCAGAGCTCAAGCCACCCTGGGGCAGCTTGGGGTAAACATCACTGGCTGCCAGGCCTGACTGTTTGGGGTTGGGGTGTCCCTGCCTTGGCAGGCACCGGGAGGATCTCCTGTCGGGACGGGCAGTTCCCGAAGGCACTTTCCTGGCAAAGCCGATGAGGCAGCAAAGTCCCGGTGGCAGATGAGCATCAGCAGTGTGTGCTCGGGGGTCTCTGGGGGCCTGACGGGCGAGGGAGGGTGCCTAGGGTGCTCCTGCGAGCAGGGACGTGCAGCTGTGGCCCTGCGCTGAATCCAGGCTTGTCAAACAGGCTTCCCCGCATGCTGGGCAAACCGGGGGAACAGGGAGAGCCCGGGTTCCTCAGCCACCTGGTTGGGACTCGGCAAGCTCCTCTTGCAGTCCAGAGCCAGGGCAGGAATCCGTGCCTAGCTAGAGCACGGCGCGATCTGCCTGGAGCAATGGCTCGGCTCACGCGGCAGGGAAAGTAAAACCCAGAATGGAGCTAATTTTGCCTTTCAGCGATAACTTCAATTGTCCCAAGCTGGTTTCGAAACTACTGGCGCTAGGGAAAAAGGAAACAGTGGCCAAGCAAGGGCTCTGCCGCACTTTCATCGGGAGTTACAGAGTTCTGGGTTTATGTCCAGCTTCCCCTAAGGCTGCTGCTGGTGAGAGCGCTTTGAAGGTCTCAGACGCCCCTTCATTTCGAATGCTGGCCTTACGGGACGCTAACGCGGGAGCTGGTATTCCATCGGGGAGCCAGGACGGGATGCCCCGCATAGCCTAGGCGCGGCACGTGCCAGAGAGCCGTCCTGTTTCTTTGCACTACCGCGATCGCTCCTTTAGCGAGCCCGTGCCGTGTTAAAACTTACGCGCCCCTTTTTCTGGAGGATCGTCTGCTCCTAAATACCCTTTAACTGTGCTTCAGTGATGTCAGAGTTAACTTCTCAGCAGCCATCTGCTGGGTTTTTTTCTTTTACCAGACTATAAACTTTGTGTGGTTTCCTTAATGGGAAGAATTTAATACGGCTCCTGGCACTAGCTGCGTTTCCTACTGAAAGTTTATGCTGCTCAGGGTGTTCTTTGTAGGACGTGCAGCGTCCGAGCGCAAGCCGAAGTTGTTAACAGCTGGCAGAGTGTTACGGAGTCAAGCGTAGAAGGCAACAAAACCTACAGCTTTTGGCAGTGCGGGCTGTCTGCCCACGGGGAGCCCAGGGAGACGGACACGTTCGGTTGGCAGTGAGGTGGCCTAATTTGGGAACCTCCCGATGCTTCTTCTGAGGCTCCGTGTGCCCTGCGCAGTCCCGTGTGGTCCCTCTGCGGAGGCCCGGTTGTGCTGGAGTGACGCTGTGGTCAGCAGTGAAGATGAGGAGGGTCCCAAACCGTAACCGCCTTGAGTTCCCCTGAAGTTTCCAGGCTTTTCGGCAGCTAATCCCCGACCCTCTCCCCCTGCTGCTGCCCTGCTCTTGTTGTTCTGGTCTTGGCTGAGGGAGGATGACGGGATCTCTGGCTGCCCTTCCCGTCTCCCAGCCTGATCTCAGCAACCGCAGAGAGAAAGAAAGCTCGTGTGCTGCAAATTCCTCCCTCCTGTCTGGGGGGGAAGCTGCCCGTGCGGAAGAGATGGCTGGGAGACGGACAGATTAGATGTGGTTCATGCAGGCAGGGGGTTTAGGACCACCTGCACAGAAAGTTGTAGTAGCAGATGTCCTGGTTGCCGGTGACGTTCACCACCTGCGCGTGCGGGCACGGTGAGAGGAGGTGGCGGCGGGGCGTGGGGACACGGGGGACGCCCAGGGACGGCCCCATCGCGGCTGGGGAGCACGGTTGGGGACCGCAGCCCCCAGAGCTCCCGGGAGCCCCATAGATTAGATGTGGTTCATGCAGGCAGGGGGTTTAGGACCACCTCCCCGTGTCTTTCCTCTGGAGGGGGAATCCGTGGGCATCCAGAGAACTCTCTCGTTTTGTCTGAAAGCCGCCTACGAAGGGGGTCAGGCTCTGGGTGCCGGCCTTGGCGTGCTGCATGCGGGCTGGGTGCTGCCCCGCTGTCCCAGCTCGCCTTTCCCTGCCCGTGTTTCCCGCTGGTCGCAGAGAGGCAGGAGGCGTCCCTGGGCGAGGGACCATGGGCGCTCGGCTGCAGTCCCTCCTTTTCCTTCTGACGCAGCAAATCTCTTAGGAAGGGGTGTGAAGGTGCTGTGTGAGCGTCTGTGGTCCCCTTTAAAGGCGGCTGCGCCAGCGCGGCGCAGAGAAGCCCGGCTCTTCGGCCCAGCATTGCGTGCAGCAATGCTCTCCCCTGCCTGGGCTGTCACGCTCTGATTCCCGCTCTATGCCAAACCTCCTATCCCTCTCCCTGCTCAGAGGCTTTCCCATCTGTTCACCCGGGGCAGCCCGTGTTTAGACAGACGTGCCTGGCTGGACTGGCTGCCTGGCAGAATGGGGAAAGGCACTGCTGGCTGCACAAAGCGCCCTTGTTGTCATTGCCGCCGCAGCAGGGGCTGGGTTAGCTCCTCTCTCCCCCAGGACGGTCAGCTCAGCCCGGCCAAAGGCATCCTGCAGTGGAGGAGGTTTTCACTGTCCTCGGCAAAGAATAATCGGGCGCCCCTGAGGGCCCTCGGCGCTGGAGGAGAGGGCTGGCTGGGGGGACCCAGGCTGCTGGGGAGGAGAGCTGCTGACTCTGTCTTTTCTCCCCTCTCGCTCCCAGTTTTCCAAGCCTCCTCTACGTGTGTCCAGCCAGCCCGTGGGGGATCTTTTCCTCCTCGTCAGGCTTGTGGTAGGGCAATAGAAATCACGTGAGCGTTGCTGACGGAAACGCGCGAGCGGTAAATCAGCGCTGCAGGGCTGTCGAGAAAACCCACCGGCTCGTGCACCACCCTGCACGCTGCTGGGGTGCTCGTGCAGTAAATGAGGACCCCGGCCTCCACGCAGGGCGCCCGGGCTGCCCTTGCTCACAAGCTCTCTGCCATCTGCCCTGCTCTCTGCCAGGAGCATGGCTGCTGTCCCTGTTTCTGTGCTCGGGCATTGCTCGTTTCTTAGCTGTGTCCAGGATGATGGTGGGGAGCCCCAGAGCCCCCATCTCTCGTGCCCTTCGCGTAGCGTGGGGGGCATGCCATCCTGTGTCCCCGGGGCTTTTGCCGGCAGTTGCGTCACGGGCCGAGCGTGGGCTGCCGGTGGAGCTGGTGCGGCGAGGGCACGGCTCGGGGCCTGGACCGCGTGCTCGGTTGCTCGAGTACCTGTCCCGGCCGTCCCAGCATGGCGAACAGTGGCCTGGCAGGAGGCATCTCTCCTCTTTCTCGGAAGGTGACAACAGACTGGGATTTGCAGAAGGGCACGGGCTGCACAGAGGGCCACACGGGGACGTCGGCTGCCGCTCCTCTTGCAGCCGGGATGATCGCGCTGATGCTGCAGGTGCGGCCGTGTCTGACCTGGCGAGACGTCCAGCACATCATTGTCTTCACCACCACCAAGGTGAGTGGCCATCCCTCCCTCCTGCTGCCCTTCAGGGATGCTGCGGGATGGCAGAGATCCTGCTGTGCGCATCTTTGTTTATGTATGTCTGCCTGCCCCTCTATAAATCTCTGGGTTGTCTGGCTCCCGGCAAAGGGACTGCGTTTTCCCCTTGCCCCTCGTTCCTCCCAGGAACGCGGCTGCGGCATTTTCCTCTGTCATGATAATAAATGGGGTATTTGCTCCAGGAATGCCTCCCATCTGCCGGCGTCCAGGGGCTCACCGTGCCTCGCCCGCAGACACCGGGAGCGCGTGTGTGCGTGCGGTGCGGCTGGCCCACATCTCTGCAGTGCCACCCCGCAGTCCGTGCAGTGGGAAAGCGAGGAGCTCTGCCCTGCCCTGGCCTCTCCTCGGGCTCTCCAGAGAGTCGGGCTCTTGGAAACAGACATAACGGAGGGCTCGGCAGCAAACACAGCCCTTCCTTTTGCTCGGCCTCGACTCCAGCACAGCTTCACTGCGGAGAGCAGGAGTGGGAACTGGCTGGAGCTGCCTGATTCGGCTTAGGCACAGGGCTTCTTCCACACCCCTCTGGGGAGCAGGAGTCTAACAGCTCCTGTTAGACTACAGCTAACGCTGTACTCACTTTGGCACAGGGCAGCGTTTTCCACAACTGCGAGCCAGCGTTGCCGGAGTACTACAACCCTATAAGCAATGGGACCCAGATCTGTCCTGGCCCGGCTCTTGTTGATTTAAAGGACTCGATTCCTTCTCCCCAAGGCTCCTGCCACCCCGCAGGCTGTGGCTTGGGCGGCAGGGAGCAGCTGGGATGTTTCAGAGCAGAGGCATTTGTGCCCTTTCGGGCTGCTTGATTTCCTTTCTGAGGAGCCGGGAAGCCTGTTTGTCCTGGGACTTGTTTCAAACAAAGGTCAACCTGTTTCTTTCTAATAGGGCCGCGTGGGTTTGCTTCCCTGCTGCTGCGGGGTATTTCTGAGCCTCCTTCCCTTCGGGCCCGGTTCCCTTTGCTCCGGGTTTGCAGGGCTGCCGGTGTCCCCCAGGGTAACGAGGGTGCCCTGCATGTCTTTTCAGTACGAGGATCGGCACGCAAAGTGGGACATCAACCAGGCCGGCTTCAGCCACAGCCACCAGCACGGCTTCGGCTTGCTGAACGCCTGGAGGCTGGTGAACGCTGCCAAGGTAATTCCCCTCCCTGTCCCAGGCGTGCCCCGGAGGCAGGTAGAGCAGACCCAGCCCGGTGGCGGCGGCGGGTCCTGTCCTGGCAACGCCGTGGGGTGACACTGTGGCTGTTCAGGGCCAGCGCTTTGGCCGTCATCCTGCCGGCCCTCGCCGTAAGGCTGCTTTTGGTATGAAGTAATAAGGCTTTCGGCAATGCCTGAAACCTGCCCCCGAGCTGCTGCTCTCTCAGCACTATATATAGCCATGGGCGAGAGCCTTCGCTGGTGGGAGACGACAGCTCTGATTCATGGCTTGGGGAGTTTCGTCAGCAGCCCCAGCACCTTCCTCCCTATGCAGTGGGCTCCAGGGAGGGCGTCATGCCCCGAGGAAACAGGGTGTTCTCAGCTGGCAGCTCTGGGCTCTGCGTCCCGGGGGCTGCTGGGGCTGCCGAGGGAGTGGTGTGGTCAGAGCAAGCAGGGGCATCCCCATCTCTTCCTCCCTGTGCCTCCAGTCACATGGAGACCAGGGCACATCCCTTTGGCACTTGGTCCTCAGTCGTGCATAGAGCACCGCGCAGCTGTGCCGCGTCGCTGCCGGTTGCCAGCAATGCCCCCTGTTTCACAGGGGCTTTCAGGCTGCTCTCTCTTCCTGCAGGGCTTTGGGTTCTGCTACGTTTCCCCCCCCCGCTGCGCCTGGGGTTGAAACGGAATGGCTTCAAGTAACCGCTCAAAGCCACTCGGGTGGTGGCGGAGACAAACCCAGAGCTGGGGATTCCCGAGTCTCGATTGGCCCCTCTAGCCCGCAGGCAGCTGCTTTCCTTCCACTCCTAGGCGTGCGGGCACTCCTCTCCAGCCCTGCGGCGCTCGCTGCAGCCCGTGCGTGCTGCCTGGGTTTGTGTGCCCCAGAGCAGCGTCGGGAGAGGCCCCTTGTCTGGGCCCAAGCTGGGCCCACGTCCACGCGCGTTAGGCGTGCCACGGATGGGAGCAGCTTGCAAGAGTGGTGGGAGATTGGGAGATGGATGTGCAGGGAGGGTGCAACCTTGTGCTGAATCCTCTCGCCTTTCCCCTGACAGATCTGGGAGTCGGTCCCGTACCTCGCCTCGTACGTGAGCCCTGCACTGAAGGAGGGCAGGAGCATCCCGTTGCTCCCGCAGGAGCTGGAGGTCGCCTGGAACGGTAAGAGCGGGTGTGCCGCGTGAGAGCACGTGCTTGTACACGCCAAGGCCAGGGATCCAGCCCGTTCCCGCTGGCATGGGGCGCAGCTGGGCGTGCTGACAGCCTGGCAGGGCAAGCCCTGGGCTGCGCAAGGCCACGAAGGGGTTAAGTGTCGGGCTGCATGGGCTTTTTCCTCTCTCTTTCTGCTGCCCTTCCCCAGGGGATCTGTGTCTGTTGATGCGGTCCCCTCCCCGATAACTCCATCTCATAGATTGATGTCTTCGAGGAGCCAGACAGGCATTAGCGAGCACGGCCAGGCTGGGCAGCAGCCAGTCCTGCTCCTCTGGCTTTGACCATTTTAGGTAATGCTCCAGCTCCTGACTTGGCCGGCCTCTGTCCACATAAACAAGGCGCTGCTCCGGCAGCTACCAGTGGGAAGGAGAGCTCGGCCCCAAGCCCTTCCCGGCCCCCCAGCGGGGCCCGGCTCTCTGGCTGGGCACAGCTTCTTGCGCCAAGGCTGGGCCACCGGCCCCCTCCCTGTCCCACCGGAGATGCTGTCCCAGGGGGCCTGGCCCTGCGCCCCTCGCTGCCCCAGCTGCAGCTCCTGGCAGAGGTGCTGGGGATTGGCAGCGCCCGGGGGCTGGTCCCCCGGCCAGGGGGCCCCCCGGGAAGAGGGTGGAGCTTCGCAGGCCGGCCCCCCCCCCTTGCAGGTGGTCCCGTCCCTCCCCTCCCTGCTGCAGGCTGAGGAGATGCTGGGCGGGCGCTGGGCACATGTTCTCCCTCTCTCCTGTCCCTGCCCGGCCGGGCTGGTCCAGCTCTGCAGCACGCTGCTCCCTTGCAGGTACCAGCACCGCAGGGCCCCAGCGGGACGGAGGGACAGAGGGGCGACACCCCGCTCCTCGGGCTGGCAGCGGGGCTAGCCCCGCTCTGCCTCTGAGGAGAGGGTTGGGGGTCAAGCAGCTCCTTCTGCCCTAAAAGGAGTTGTGAGCTGAAAGCTGGGCAGCAAGCGGAGTTTGGGAGAGGCAGAAAAGAGGCACTTTGGAGAAGTATGCGCAGAGGAATGCCTGGCCGCAGAGGAATGTGTGGCCGGGGGCACTACTGTCCCCCAGGTACTGCAGGCTGACTCAGAGTTAACCCTTTCCCCACGTGGCCCCAGGGAGTGTGCTGGCCGGCCGCTGCAGGCAGGCTGCCTGGTTCTGGGGTGCGCCCGCCTCCCCGCTTAGAAGATGCTGGGGAGCACCCACCT